GCGGCCCGCCGGGATTTGCGGGGTCCGGTGCGGTTATCCGGATTGGCGGCCAATGCGGTTGGTGGCGGTGGGGAGCGGCGTGGGCGGCGGCCCGTGGGTGAGTTCGTACGTGGGAGGGAGGAATGAGAAGGTGGGGCAATGCTTTTACGCCGTGGAGGATCGGAAGGTGGCGGTGGATGAGGGAGGCGATGCGGTGGCGGGGGGTGGGAAGCGGGTGGCGGAAGTGGTGGTGGCGGCGGTGGCGACGGTGGTGCTGGGCGTGGGGAACCGGGTTTTGTATAAGCTGGCTTTGGTTCCTTTGAAGCAGTACCCTTTCTTCCTTGCTCAACTTGCCACTTTCGGGTACTTTACCTTTAAAATTATAAAATAATGGCAAAAAAATTTGTAAAATTTAGTTGGTTTAAATATGTTTTTATTTATATAATTTTTTAATAATTTTTTAACTCTCTAAAATTAAATTTTTTATTTTTAATCTTTAATATTATGCGATAATTTTTAATTATTTTTGTATTTATCATATGATAAATTTTTTTCATCCTTTATTTAATGATAATCACAATTGTGTTTGATATCATGTTAACATATATGACATCTCTAAATTTTTTTATAAATTTTTAAAATAAATGTTATTTATTTATTTTAGAATAAATATTAGGATAAAAAATAGTGACTTTGAATTTTAGAGAAATAAAAATTAAAAAATAATATTTTAAAGGATCAAAATCAAAATTTGCTCAATTTTTAAGGATAAAAACATCGATTTCAAATTTTTAGATGGATGAAAAATAAATAATCTTTTTATAAAGACTAAAGTCAAAATACAACTATTTTATCGAGATTAAATAATTAACACGTGGTTGATTCGAGTAATATTGAACTTAATTCCTTAAAAAAGTGATTAAGTTTGAGTTTTTGTTAAAGAAAAAAATGTGATTGGATTTGTACCCATAACATAGTAAAAAAATTAATTTATAATTAGTTCCAAATATAAAAAATAGCTGAAAGTATATCAAAATTAAATTCAATATATTATTCTCTCCTAAAAATAAACAAGTTTAATTTTTATATTCTATTAGTATGATGTTTTATATACTACTAGTTATTTACTTTAAGTATGATTTTGAAGATAATTTTTGTAAAATCACACGTTGGTTTTTTTTTTTTTGAGGAAATTGTTTGTATTGGACAATTATTGGTGGGTCGGCCTCATGTTTGTGGACCTAGACCTGTCAAAATGACCACATGGAGGCTTGATAACCTTTTGGTGCACTGTGTCCAAGAATTATTTATTTTTTGAAGGTGATTTTGTGGTCAAATGTTGATTTTGGTGATTGGGACTTGTGAGGCTATTTTGGTTTGAAGTTGTATAAAATTGATTTGGACAGAATTAATTTTTAACTGTTTGTGTATCCAAATTAGTCTCAATATCAAATTTTACATTAAGCTAAATGATTGAGTTTGTTTATTTCAGATATGTGATAGTGTACTTTGGCATTTTGTATATTCGACACCATGCGGGAATTGTGACTGATGAGATGTTACATGCTCCAAAGGCTCCATTTATAGTTGTTGGTATATTGGAGGCTCTTGCTGCTGCCACTGGAATGGCCGCAGGAGGTAACTTTCCACCCTTTCTCTGCTTACAAGCCACAATCACATTTTCATTTCATTCTTTTTTCCATCACCACATCAACTTTGTTTTGTGACTGCATTAATATTCATAGTACATAGTAGTTTATTTTTTAGTATTTAACATAATTGTGTATTTAAAGCTCAAATTTGAGACTACTGTTTTAACCGGAATAATCTATGTCAGTTAATGCACGCGTTTGGTTGTGTTAGAGTAGAACTATGCAACTGTCCATCAAATTATACAATATTTCACAGATGAAAAATTGATATATTTGGGCTAAAATAATCTTATTTAACAACATCCCATTACTTGTAATAAATTACTATTGTAGATAAATTACGTTTGGTTGTGTTGCACCTTGGACTGATATTATTGTCAGATGCCAAGAACATATTATCTTTTAATTGTATAATGTTTTTTCTCCACGAAAATGGTCAGATTCTGAATTTGATTGTGCCCTTTCTTGTATCAGCAATTCTCTCCGGAGCATCAATTCCAATTTTGTCTCAGGTAAAACCAATCAGCAGTCAATTGCTCTCTAGCATTTGTTCTTAAGTCCTGTAACTATTACATTTTACATCTGCGTGATTGTAGTAGAAGATGGCAATCTGTAATGCATAGCTGGTAAAATGAACCCTCTTTTCATTGTCTCTAAATGAAATATATGAATTTCAAAACTATCTACAAACTTTAGATATGAATGTCAATTAACTGAAAATCTCCTGATACCAGATTGGTGCTAAGTGTAAACATATTAGATGCATCATAATATCCAAGATAATGTTAGACATCTTGCAATATAATTTTTTTTTTTCTTGATAGAAAGAATTGGAGTCAGTTACTTAAGGTGTTAATTTGAGCTATTCTCTTGCAGACTTTTCTAGTGTGGCAAATACTCCTGTCAATTATTTTTCTTGGGAGAAGATATAAAGTCAACCAACTACTTGGATGCTTTCTTGTAACCATTGGTGTAGTTGTTACTGTAGCAAGGTCAGTAGTACATGTAATTTTATTAAGGATCTTAGACCATGGTGGCTCAGGTTATGAGTGTCAACACGGGCAATGCATTCTTAACCATGAGGCTAGTAGTAAATAACATGGTCTACAAGCGATTTTGGTCATTAGTTAACAAACTAACTCCGAAAGTCTCTAAACATCTTGACAGCAACACGATTATTATTGGTCACAAAACAAATTGATTTAGTGATATTTGGTTTGTTCTGCCAAGGCATGTTGAGTAAACTTCATACATATATGTCGCTATTTATGACTTATATGTGTCTGGTACAAAATATATGAAAATTGTGTTTACTTTCTATGGCCTTCTTATTTATACCTATGTTTACTATTGTAGTGGAGCTGGTGCTGGGGATTCATTAAAGGAAGGTGGTATGTTTTGGACTCTTTTGATGATAGTTTCATTTTTCCTCCAAGCAGCTGATACTGTGCTGAAGGTTATCATGGTTTATAATGTTTGTTGCATTTTTCCAACTTTTAAACTGTTTCTCTATAGTTACACTGTCTTTTTCATACTTTGCAGGAGATAATCTTTTTGGATTCAACCCAAAAACTGAAGGTCTGTGCAGTAGTGAATTGTTTTAATTCAAATTTCTGCTAATTATGACTTTCAAGGGTCTTATAGTATTGGGCCATTTGAGACCTGAATTATGCAACACCACTTCTGCTGCACTCACAAGCACCTCAAACTTTAATGCATGTCGCAACTCGAAAATTTCCGATCTTGCGACCTATGGTTTAGACATCCTTTTAAAAGGCTCATCAATTAAGGAATGCCCGGACACCAGACTAATCCTTAATTAATTGTTTTGGAAAATGAGTTCATGGAGTCGCCACCAATGTTTTACTCAAAATATTGGAAAAAGAAAAGGTTTTTAAAAGTCCAATAATGGCCTTGATAACCAGAATTGGGTTCGGGGGTCGGTTAAGTGTAGGGAAGGTATTAAGCACCCCTACAGCGCCCTAAATCGGTACCCTATGATGAAGTTAACGTAATAAGAAATAATAAATTAAATATTAGATCCCCTTTTATTAATAATTATTTACATGCTTAAAAATTAAATTATACAATTAATCCTAAAATATCTACATGATTGCTTTTATTATAAACAATATTTATTAAAGATAAGAAATAAAATAAAGAGAAGAAAATTGACTGAAATACCTCTTGAATGAGCTCTATTGGATCTTCAAAAAAGGTGCTTTGTGGCAACCCTTCACACTACAATGCCTCACAAAATCTCAAGAAATACAAAAGAGAGGGGAAGAGAGAAAAAGAGAGAAATTTCGAGCTATAGGAAGTCTGGACGAAATTTCGGAGTCCGGAGAAATGAGCCCCAGCTGTCTATTTATAGACTTCAGGAAGGGGGTCCAGAACGGCCCGTTCCAAAATCGGAACGGCCGTTCTGGATATGGCCGTTGTG